GTGGTTCTGTGTGCTGCTGTGTGATTAACAATGGCTCTGTGCAGAGCAGCCTGCAATATAAGCGTGTCCCAGTAAATCAGCCACCCTGCTGCCCTTTCTCAAGCAGCAGCAGAGCCAAGCCCTTCATCTGCCATCAGCCTCCGCCAAACAGCCAGAGAAACGCAGGGAAACAAAAGGAGCGCAGAGGCTCAAAGGTACAGAGGGAGACATGGAGATAACCCGTCGCAGAGGGACAACGCCGATATTCCCTGATTGTACCAAACTTAATGCAAGGCAGATGGCACATGATGCTAATTAGAAGCCTTTCCTATCTTTACATCAATGTGAGATTGACCTGCTGCTTGCTTTGTGTACAGCTGTGAGGAGCATAAAATGTTCCCTGCTTTGACTTTTACAATCTGTCAGAAAGACCATAGGAGTGACTTACAGCCAGATCAGACGACAAATGGTCTCAGTCTCGCTGAATGATTGCCGACACTAATATATTTTTCATCACCTAACAAAGCGGTTTCTTCTGTTTCCCTTTCTTGCTCTCAAGTCCCTCACAGTTCTAAACAGAAGCTGCATGTTTTTCCAACAAATGTATCCCACAATAAAATTACACATTTAGAAAACTGTTTTAGGCACACATCTTTTTCTTTTTTTTTTTTTTTTGAGAAAATCACGATTGGCTGTTTGTATTAACTTCTCAGCTTCACACGTCTTCACTAAGACAAATGTTTGAGCCTCCAGTGGCTGAACCTGAACCTGTGGAGAAAAGGAAATCACACGCACAGAGAAGAATCGTCGCATACATCTCAAGACTCTCTAACAGGTTTACAAATGGCATAATTAACTGTCATTAAGTCTGCAGCTGCAATAAGGCAAGACCAGCAAAAACTAACATTAAAACATCTTTTTTTTTTTTTTTTTTTTTACTTCAACATAAATGTTCTTGGGAGCCTGAAAAAGAGTAGAAACAAAAGCAACAGCATTTCTCTCCGTAAACACAAGAAAAAGGCCAAGAAGAGGCTTTAAAAGGAGAAAACCCACAGAGCATGCCACGAGCCAACTAGTGCATTAATGGTCAATTCACAAGTAAGAAAAGGTAAAAAAGTGCAGTCTGATGAGAAAACAGTTTTCAGCCTTCTCTAAGGTCCATTTCAATGAGTCCCTGGGCAGGAAGTGATGACTTGCAGCAGCTTAGGGACGGCGTTTTGAATCGAGAGCTCTATGAGGTCAGTCCCCTCCAAAGCTGTCAGCACTCATAAGTAACTGTGAGGTTCTGCTCTGACATCAGAGGAGGGACAGCTTCCGCTCTGCTTCAACTCCTCCAACTATTACTGAGTCTCATTTAGCCAACTTTGAGTCTAGGACAAGTGTGTGAGCTGCAAATTAGTTTTAAGCGAGTATAATAGGGGAATTCTGTACATTGCATTGTTCTCTAAACAGTGGGTAAGGTGAAATGTGATTGTACCAAAATTGCTTTGACCTTAGAAAATTCTGATACAAGATTTGTCAAACTCTGTTGTGGTTCTCAGCACAAAACAAATGATGCGACGCAAACCATTGTATGTATGTTTAGGTTGTGAAACTGTTGTGTTTTTGTGTGCCGAACAACGTAAAGAAGGTCTAATGGGTTTTGAAAGTGTACTATGTTGCAAAAAATATTGGGTCACCCCTCCAAATGATAAAATGCAGACATTCCAAGCACTTCGGTGACCACGTGGGTATAAAATCAGTTGCCTAAGTATGCAGACGGCTTCTACAAATATTTTTTGGTGAATTAATATTTTTCAGGGGCTCTGAGAAATCCACCTGTGTAATAAGTCTCATTGTGACATTTCCTTCCTACTAAATATTCCACAGTTAGTTGTTAGTGGATATTAAAACCAAAACACAAAGTGGTGGGCCACATTTAATCATAGATGGGATAATGAGGCGCATCCTGTCCGGAGGCTGCTACCTTTCTGTACAGTCAGTATCATCCAAACTCCACGTGGCCTTCTGATTAACTTGGGAACAGGGCACGGAAAACTTAATGAAATGGGTTTTCATGGCAGCCACATCCAAGTTTTACGTCACTAAGTGCAATGCAAAGTGCCAGATGCAGTGGTGCAAAGCATGCTGCCACTGGACTCTCAAGCAGCAGCGGAGACGTTGTTCTATGGAAAGATCAATCATGAGTCTGTCTGGCAATCCAGAGTCTGGCTTTGGCAGTGGCAAGAAGCTTGCAACTTGCCTGACTGCAACAGAGTTAAGTCAAGTCAAGGTTATTTGACCAGCACATTTCAGCAACAAGGCAGTTCAAAGTGCTTCGCATGACAAAAACATATGAACCAAGGAACAAACATTACATTTTGTCAATGCCATCATCAGAATCATCAAGAATAATCATCATCAAATATAACAATAAACCATCCAGCTCTGAACGAGAGAGAGGTTTTGGCCTTGAACTCAATTTTTCAGCTGTTTTGCAGTTTTCTGGAAGTTTGTTCCAGATTAGAGGAGCATGAAAACTGAATGCTGCTTCTTCATGTTTGACTCTGACTCTAGGCATGCAGAGTACACTCTGCATGTGTAGTATCGTATGTAATGGTTGGTGCAGAGTAAATTGTAGTATGGGAGCTGAGCAAAGCCCTTTAGTGAAAAGAACTCTTCATGCTGCTGTATAACAACACAATTTGGACAATTTTGTAATCCTGATTTTGTGGGGGATAGTCTGCGGACTGGTCCTTTATTTCCTACATAACTGGACACCGGTACACAAAGCACAGTTCAGAAATACTTCAATGAGCAACTTTGTTGTGAAATATTTGACTGGTCTGCACAAACTCCTGATTTCAATCGAACATAACGCCTTTGGGATCAAGTGGAGTTAGTGCAGGTCTTCTCATCCAACATCAGTGCCTGACCTCACAAATACTTTCCTGGAAGAAGGGACAATAATTCCTATAAGCACACATCTAAACCTTGCTGATGCTTTTATTGTTGCCAAGAGCAACCTCCAATTTAGAGAAATACTAAGAACGGGCTGTCATTAAAATCCATTAGTGATCCAAAACTATAATCCAGAAATTCATTAACGTATCCATGCCATCACTTGGACACCATTGGTAATTTTGAATGTTTGTGAATAGTAAGCTTTGCTTTGCTGAACAGTTTTATTCTGTTCTTTCAGAGAGGCTCTTCAAGCTTTATCAGATTAGATGAGGCATATGTAAGCTGCCACCTTCATGTGTTTCCTCAGATGTCGGAAGAGGGTTATGTGTGCACACGAGTGTTTTATTATTATTATTATTATTGTTGTTGGGAGGGGTGTGCAATACCAGAAGGGTGGGAGGTTGGGGTTGGGGGTCAGTCTCTGCCTTAGGAAGAGGAGTACTTTTCTAGTTATACCCACTCACTGTGGTTTTACACAGCCAGACTTACAAGTACACATACACAGACATGAAGATCAGTAGGCAACTTATATTTAAGTTGCCTACTTAAATATAAGTTGGCAACTTAAATATAAGTTGCCAACATGGATCTATAATAGGCAATGCACCTATTATAGATCCATGAGGGACAAAAACCAACAACAAAAAAACCCCAAATGAGTCAAAGTTTAATTCAAAATTTCAACTAATGGAAAGGTTTTTGTGTCTAGCATGATGGCCACTTATATATATATATATATATATATACATATATATATATGTATATGTATATATATATATATTAAAAGGACTATTAAAAGGACTTGCGCGGTACCATCACCAAATATTTAGGAGCTCAGGTGCTGCTGCACTTATGTTTAAGAATGGATGTGCTGACTGCAAAGAGGAAGACGAGAAAGCGATGGGAGGAAGAGGAAAAGGAGGAGGAGACTGTGCTACTGTAGCAGTGCATCACCAAGAGGTGAGACTACAGCCACGACACCACAGTTTGCAGCCCGGAAAAGGGTAAGAGCGCCACTGTTTGTTTAGCACCTGCAAAGGACCATCTTGTCTTGCTCTCCTTTCAGTTGTGGATGCATGCAGAGACCTTCAGGGCCATCTGTGCTGAAGTGGCAGAAAGAATTGCACGAGCAAAGTGGAACGCTGCCAAATCAGTGCACTTTTGCAGACAGGAACTGTCCTTCAAAGGAAAAGACTTGCTCAAAACGTTGACGGAAGGAATGGCAGCGAAGTCGGCCCGACTTCCCTCAGCTGCCTCGCGTGCCCACTGAGACAAACAGACCCACAATGGGCCACGAGAATGTGTGTCATTAGTGCTGTCCCAGATGCTCTGAAAACAGACTGCCCTGTAAATGCACTGCATTCCCAGAATAACTCCCTGCAGCTTGTTACAAACAACGACACTGTTTAATAACCCCTGTAGTGGAAATGTAACTTAAATGGAACTGTAACAGAAGTACAACGAGGCAGTGAAGTTGGACTCGGGGAAATGGATGAGGATGAAATGGCTATGAGTGCAGCTTGTCTACGTCTGTGTAGTGCAATCAGATCAGTGAGACAAAGAAGTTAAATGGCTGCAGGCGCAGGTGTAGGAGAGAGACAGCCAGAATCACCACAATCTGAAATACTGTGGCATGTCAGGGTCGTTAAGGTATTTTACCAGCCAATAGGTCAGTCAATGACAGCAAACAATCTTGTCAACAGCAGCGTCTTCCAGCATATGAAAGACACATCTAGAAGGTTAAATGTCAGAAGTTTGTTTTGTTTGTTTTTTTTACCCCTTCCTTTAAAAACAAAAAAGAAAGAAAGAAAACAAAAAAGATTTATCAAGCTATTCATCCAACCGCAGCTCCATCTGCACAGCCCAGGATTCATGCACCCTGCAGTGGATTACAAAACGCTGCCTGTGTAAAAACAAAAGACCCATTTTCCACCCAGTGTCTTTTTTTCCCCCCCCCCCCCATCCTGTTCACAGTAAATACCACATGCAGGGGCAGGTTTAACGCAGAAAGACGTTGGTGCAACAGATCAGCATGCGCCTCAGCGTGTTGGAGCGCATTTGCTCGGCGTTGAGCTTACCCTCTGCGGCCACAGCGCGCCGGACAAGGAGTGACAGCAGAGCCAAAGACAGCAGGCAGTGTGCGAGCATCCCCGCTGCTCCGGCTCGCAAACCGCTCCTCAAACACCTCCTCCCCCTGTCTCCTCCGGCTTCCCTCCTGCGCGGTGAGCATCCATCATAGGCGTCTGCCCCGCAGGCTCCCGGTACTTCGGGATGACCCGCCCGCCCATCACTCCTCACACCGGGAGCCATATCCAGTGGACAAGTTGCTGAAGTTTCGCTCGTAAATAATGCATTGGATCAATCCACGTGTGTGAACGGGGGTGGGGGGGAAACACGGCCGTCACTGGGTCACGTCGTGTGTCCAGGGCTGGATAGAAGGACGAGGGGAAGTGGGGATACGCGACGCTGAAGGGAAATCAAGAAATGCGCCCTTATCGCTCCGCTGCGCTCGGTCCACCCATCATCGCCGTGTGGCGCAGAGTGGCGCTCTCACTTTGCCCAGAGGTTTGACATTTAGCCGCTGGAGGTGAAGTGGCTCGCTCAGACCCGCTCCTGAGGGATGACGGTCACCGAGTTGCGTGCAGAGGACGTTCAGTCACCACCAAAGCGAGCACATTTCCACGGAGCTCGGCGAGTGGGTGGCTCATTTAGGTCTTCTACTCCTCTGGCCAGGCTGAAACAAAATAGCATCTGTATAGAAAGTCAAAGCTGACCTGTCTGCACGGCGCCCTCTGCTGGCTGTGTGTGTGTGTGTGGCTCAAACTGCCAATGCATAGGTAATTCTTTCTGCATTACTGGACTCGTTCAGCTTTGGAAGTAAACCACACATACAAAAGCCACACTTCTGCTAAGAATGTAATTTCAAAGTTTAGCTACTGTCAACCTCATCAGACTTGATGTTCGCATAATGAGAGAAGGCATTTACAGCCGTGGTTGTTGTACCGTTTTAACTCCACAAGATGGCGCCCTTGACTCACAAAAGACACAAGTTGCTGACACTTCTAATTCCCAGGTACACATATAAACTTTTGTAATGAGTGCTTTTGTACATTTTAACATTATAAATATTACTGCTGACACTTATTTAGTTGACCTTTATTTACAATTGTATATGAACATATAAAATTTATTATTGTATAATATTCAAATGTTACTTAATTATCAACATATGCCCATGGATAGACGCATAAACATTAAGTCTTCTGATCTATTTAATTCCATAATTTCTATTTTTTTTTAAATAGCATAATATTAACACTTCAAATATTACTAACTTTGTGTTTAAAAAGTAATTTATCTCAATATTATTAAATAATCTAAAAATGTATGCAAATAGTGACCAAAACATGACTTGAGTGTACCTCCCAGAAATTAAATTAAATTTTAAAAATGTGCTTTATAAAACGGTATGTTCACTATCGAAAGTTTAGTACTAAATACACATCCATGAATATTTGTCAAAACTAAATGTATAAATAAGGATGTTTAGATAATTGCTCTGTCACACAAAAACAATTCAAAACTACAAACAATTGAGCAAACAAAGTGAACGTGGGCGATGGAGGAAGAGTCAGGACACAGAAAGGGCTGCATCAATAGATTTTTTTAATTCAAAGTGAATTTTAACAATAATACACCATAAAGTCTTATTTTGACACTCACCAAAAGAGTCACCTGGAAAACCCGCTTAATGTGACAAAGTAGAGAAGGCTTGGTCACACCTAAATCACTGAGAACTAGAGAGGAAACACTATCGCAAACTGTATAAGAGACATCACATCCATAGAGTTAGTTTTCCCAGTCCTCATACTGTAAATATTGCACAGTGCAATTGCTACATGGCAAACTAGTGTAGCACAAAATCAAAAAAATAAAATAAAATAATAAAAAAACAAAAAGCAAACAAAACATAAAAACAAAGCCACAAAAAATCTACAGGTATTAAAACAGTAACAGTTCAGATTTCATAATAAAGTCTAATTGAAGAGCGATCTAAACAGGTGATTCCATAACTTGCAGTGTGAATTAACTCTGAAATTGAGAGAGATGACCAGAAGACTGAAAAGAAGAACTTGGGAAAAGCAATCCTTGTTCAATCAAATCAAAGAGTAGCACATTTAGATCAATAAGAGACCCTGAAGTAAAAGTTCGAAAGGACGATAATGTCATTACCAAAATCAGTAATTTCAACAACTGGGCATTTTACAGACAGCTGTGTTATCTGCTAAACGTGACCACAATCCTCCAAAAATCCATGAACAAAGATTTCAATCAATTAAAATAAAACGGAAACGAGTGTGAAGATTTCTCTCCTCTTGCATCCATTGCGTTGTGTGACAAAATACGGGAGAGTCGATGCAGGCGCGTTGCTGGTGAATAAGCTTCGAGGGAGTCAAAAACACAGATTACATTTCACATGCTTATTATTGGGGACCTATCTCAAGCGCTAATGTATCTAATTCATGCCTCATCATCACAATATTTCTTTCCCAAAGTGACATTTGAATGTGATCAGTAAAACAAATAGCTAAGAAAAAAAAAAAATCTCTAAAAACACAAAGATGCATCAGGGTCGTTGTTTGAATGTAGAGAGCAGTTTCCATCTGGAGCATGAAATCAACAACCAGACGAAAACAAAAAAACAAACAAAAAAAATTTAGCTTTTTTGATTTTAAAAGACCAGTGTTGTCAGCTGTGCTCTAGTTGCTCCAACTTAGCCTCAATCTTGCATGACAGAAGACAAAAGTGAAGCGAAGTGTGCATGTGTTCATGCAAGGTAATGTAAAGCGTGGAGATTATCTAAGAACACTTTGTGGTGCAGCGACCGCACAATGGAAAGTATTGCATCTGCTGTTCAGCCAGAGTGACTATCTGAAGATCACCATGCATCGTATCATTCAAAGTCTAACTGTGGGTTTTTGTTTTGTTTGTTTTTTATCAGCCTGTTGTCACCACAGAGGCTTTTTTGTTTTTTCGTGGACTATCTGAGAGAGGAGCGGATCAGGAGTCAAATTCTCTGGCACGACTCTATGACAAAAAAGTCCTACTTTTGAATTCGTTTCCCCTTGCTCTTTGGTAAAGCGGCCGCTAAAAGAGACTTCCTACATGATCGTGGAGTTGGATTCTTCTGCCTTCTTCGCTCGTTCACTTTTCTGGATCTCAAGGCACATACACAGTGCTGCTTACACTGTCGCAGTTTCAGTAAAGGACACATAACAACGGCCACCGCCTCGCACTGACAAAAACTTTGATATGAGTCACTCATAAAGGGGAGAGCGATCTGAACGCAAGGCAGGTTAGAATATCCGACTGATACTCTAAGCGGATAGAACATTGAACAGATACAAAAGGTTGCAGTAAGTACTTGTAATCATTTTTGACATAAAACAAGTTACGAAAAACTGTTTTGGAGCAAAAAGCATCGGGGGTGAATTTACGTTTCTTACTTTAATCGAACATTTCCAAGCCTCACTAGCTGTAAGTGCTTTGCGACAAGTGTCTAATGTGAAAGGGGCACATTGGATTCGTAGTTTGTTTTTTTTTTGTTTTTTTTTTGGGTGTTGTTTGTTTTCTGGCATCTCACAGTGCTCCCATAACTCAGAAAAAAAAAGAAAAGAAAAAAGAGTACTGGTAATACACGGTGTTCGTGCAATGAGAAAGTTAAATCAATCCTGCAAGCTACAGCTTCAGATGTGTACAAAACATCGATATGAAAACATACAAAACTTAAGTTACATCGATACATCATTTATATGCAGTGACGAGCCCGAGAGGTTAATAAGGATAAAATACTGATGCTGAAAAAACACGCACCCCGAGGAACAACAAATCCAACTAATGTTCATCATCAGCAAATACAGTAGTTACAGTGACACTCCGAAAATGAATGCAAACACAGAAATCAAAGCCACTTCTATTTCAGATAATTAGGGACCTATACAAAACGCTAGGTTTAAACTCAGAGAGAAATCACCTAATTTCACAGCTAGAGAAGTGGCAATCATCATATAGCAGCTTATCTATGATACATTCAAGAAAGAAATGATACGACTTGTTAATTGCCCAATAAGCTAGACAAAACATCAGCTGTTTTTTTCCTTTTTTTTGTTTTGTTTTTTTTTAAATATAACTTCTTTTTTTTTTTTTCTTTGAACAAAACCTCATTCTACAACTACAGTATAACTGAGGTCTATGCAAACAGAATAGCTACCTTGCTCAATATATGAATTACAGTCTTTGGTGCTGCACAAGCAACGTCATTTGAAAAACAACAGACAGAAGTAAAGGGGGGGAAAAAATAAAATAAAATAAAATGCACACAACAAATTAAAACATTGGCTCCCAAAAGAGAACACACCCATGTTAAAAGGCCTGGGTTGAGTAAAATTGAACTAAAAGACAACCTGCCTGCCAAAATATCCACACCCTTAAAAGAATACGTTGTGGAAGCATCTTTGGACTCAATGTCAGTATTCAGTCTCCCTTAGTCCATCAGTATGCCACGTCTTGACTAATTGTTTTTTACTATTTATAGTTTCATCAACGTGGACACATCAGTTCTATTTAAGAGGAAACACTGCAGCCATCTTTCTTTCACTGCTTGTACAATGTTCTTTTGATCTCTTCGCTATGTCGAACATGACATTTAGAGTCACAGAAGAAAAATGGAAATGTAGTTTCATCAGACTACTTGATTCTGTGGCAAGATTTAGTAAAAATGCAGCCACTACTTTGAAAATTCCTGCAGCTCCTTTGGTGTTGTTTGTTAGTCTCTTGACAGACTCTCTGACCAGTTTCAGTTTCTTCTTTTCAGTAGTTTTGATAAAAACTTCAGTTTATGTAAAGTCCTCCTTGTCCTATTTATTCTCCGCCACGAAATTTCACCTCCACGATGGTGAAATTTGTCTTGGCAGTTAAAAATCCTTTCCAGGTAACGTCTCTGCAAATTAGGATGTAAGTGACCAAACAAAAGGTAAAATCCTACAAGGCAGCTGAATTTCATTTCTGGTTTGTCCGACTCACTTGGGTAAACTTAGGAAGACTGAAAATGACTGACACGGTGCTTCAACAAAGTGAATCAATTAGAGATATGCAATCAAGTTACAAGACTTTTTTTTTTTTTTTAGCTTTCACATTTTTTCCCACAATGTCAGATTAAAGATGATACACATTCAGGGCAGTAATTCATCATAATTCATTATACTCTTGTTTTTGCACATCACAAAATCTGCCATTTGAACAGGGGTGTGTGCATTTTTTGTGGACCGCTCTAAATGAATAAAGAAAACAAGAACACAGCACATCATATATATATATATATATCCTCCCTGACGGAATGTATAAAATAAGTAGTTGACACTGATAAGCATTAAGCCTTTAACAAATGGTATCAATGTAAAGGGGAAAAGTTAACTTTGTCACACATGCATAAACGAGAGAATTGCACACAATTACCTCACACCTTAACAAGCATCTGTACTAAATATTCTAACTCTATAATATATGTCATATATGTGTGTATATCAAATACTGCATGGTTTGCTCAGGCTAAGAATATCCCATACCATAAAACGAATTTGCATTTCTTTTTTTCTTTTTTTTTTAAATCTTACCTAATCAAAGCCATGCCCGTCACACTTCTAAACATCTAAAAACAAAGTGAAAACACTCCAAATAAAATTAAAAAGACAAAAAAAGCAAAAGAAATATATAACCGACGACTATTTAGATTGTATTGCCGTTTTTAAACAGTACAAATACTGTTAGTAGTAAGAGTTTCACTAAATAGAAAGTGATTATCAAATGTTAAGCAATATCCAGTACTTGCACTTTGTACACTAGTTCATTCGGAAACAGAGAGGAAAAAAATAAAAAATAAAAAATCAAACGTGTTTAAGGAAACAGCAGGCATTCGCAACAGCAAAGCATGCCGTTCTTCTTGAGAGAACAGAAAAAAGGAACTCACTACACACTGAAATATACAAAGACTCCGAAAAATAAGCACCGCTGTCCGCGATACATCACATCCATGCAGGCTATGCATGGAACATATACACATGTGCATATATATACTCACACATAGGATGCATCGACTGATTGGAATTTCAAGTGCTGCAGTCCAGTACATTAATATTCATGTATATAGTCATATATAAGTAGTAACATTAACAACCTCAAATATGTAAGGCACTATGGCTGGGGGACAGTTATACAATGCAGCGAGTCTTGTGACACAAACAATAAGAGCAACGTCTATGCATCTTTCCGTTTACATTTTTGCTCATGCAAGACCACATGCAGCGTGATGAACAACCCTATTTAAATCGGATAACTGACTTGACATTGCGAACATCAAAAGACACCGAAAAGGTACAAATACTTCAAACGCAGTACAACATACACCGTGGACAACATGTGCATCTGTCGATCTAGAGCTAGAGACTGGGATGGCTTTACAAATACGGATGTGTCTTGCACACATAAGAAGGCAATGTAGAAAAATAGCTGGGACCGGGGGGTTTTTTCTAACTATTCAACAACACCCCAATTATTCATCTGTCTTGAGGAGTATTCGTAGAAGATCCAATGCAAAGATATATCAAATGTGCAAAACACATTAAGTGTGAGTTTAACTACTCATTCATTCCATCATTCAATCATTCATACATTATTTCCTTCTTAATTTTTGCCAGATCATCTCCACCGTTGGAACTCTTTTTTTTTCTTTTTCTTTCTTTTTTTTAAAGCTTAAAAGTTCAATTACAACCGAGTCGACATGATTCAAAAAATAGCTTGTTTTCTCTGTGGTTGTGCCATGGTTTTGTTTTGTTTTTTTTTTATTATTATTATTATTATTAGAAATGAAAACCATGTTGTTTGTGGTTTAGGATGGGATGCTGCCCTGCTTAGCCCCCAGGCGGTAGGAAAGGTACCAGAGCCACGCTCAGATGTAGGGGTACTGGTTTAGTTTGGTGGGGCTGAGGGGGAAACTGCCATAAGCAGGCGAGGCGATGTAAGAGTGCGGGGGGAACAGGGGCTTGAACTGGCTCTGTGGATGCAAGGTGGGGGAGGGGAGCAGCCGGGGGTTGATACCCACTGCCACTTGGTGCACAATGCCTGCCGGGTGGGATATGCCATAGGTGGGCTGGAGGACGGGGCGGGAGGCGCCAGGGGAAGCCAGCAGGTGGGCCACGGGGGCCGCTGTAACCAGAGGGCCAGACGGAGGGTACGACAACAGGGTAGGCTGAGAATGCGGGTGGCCCCCAAGGTGGGGGTGGGGGCCTGTTGTGTGGTTTGGACTGCTGTGGGAAAGCGTGAAGGTGTGCCCATGCATGGTGGGAGGGATGTACGCCTGTGGTCGCCGGTTGGCAAAGTTCCCGTTCCATTCTTGGTGGCATGAAGTGAAATGCTGGACCTGAGGGAGAGAAGAACACATCTGTGCTGTAGTGCACATAATCTTGCCTTCTTTTTTTTTTTAAAATATTATTCATGCAGACGACACTTGATAGTTTTAAATCCAAGAAGTGCTGGTATAAAAAAAAAAAAAAAAGAGAGAGAGAGACAGAATGAACTGGGGCTGCCCTTTGCAGAACCCAGCAGGACAAATTTTCCTGTGATCATTTTAGAAAGGATTAGTGATATTTAGAAAAATTGCTGTAGCTTCTGTTCAGTTTGACTTGAGCTGCTTTGTGCTTGCATATTCAAAACACTTCCAACGTACATTTCATAAAACCTTTGATCTGTCCTGCAAACAATATCGTTGTAGTGATCACAGATCGCACCGATTCCTTCCTGCTACTCATCCAGTTTCAGGATGCACTGTTTGTTTTGAAATCGATCAATTTAAATTATGTTTTGCGTGCGATTTTGTATGTGTGTTCTTAGATTCTATTATATATATTTTATGTGTTATTATGCACGAGAGTCTGTTTTGATTGATTGAGATCTTTGAGGATGTTTATTACTTTAAGTATGGAGCCCTCATCATAGTGTTTTACTTTACAGGCTTCTCACACTGATCCAGAATTTCAGTTTCAGTCTTCAACTCAATATAAGTTCAAATGGAATAAATTCGTTTAAAAAGTTTGTTTTTGTTGTTCATTTAATACATAGAAAACAACACTTCCTATTTCATTCAGTTTTTGACTTTACAATCGCAGATCATGGCAAACACCGTCTGATTTTTGCACTTGAAACAAGCAAGAGACAATGCTATACAGTGGAGCTGTTCAGTAATTAAAAATATATATACATTTGCGATTCAAATGTACTCCTTATGCCTCTTGACTGCCCACATGTAGTCACAACCGCCCAAGTTGATACCCTAAACTGGCAGTGGTATAAAAAGGAAAAGATGACAAGCAAAAATCAGCATTACATTTGCGAGGACGTGCAGGAAGCTGTCTGCGAGCTCGAGCATGTGCACTGCTGTCATTGATCCATTTAAGAAGGTGAAACATGTCTTTCTACCAAGAGATACTAAGCTCATCTTAACAAAGCTGCACTCAATAGAATCTAATTAGCTCTCATCAGACCGACGCCAGTGCTGCAAAATTAAGCTCGACTTATGAAGTGCAACTGCTTTCTGCATTTAATAACCCCTTTAACAGAGTGGAAGTGCAGCCATTACTCTCCTTTTAAACACTGATTTTCTTGGCGAATTTCCCTCACCTGTCCAAAGCCCATAGGCTGCTGTTGCTGGGGCTGGAACACGGGGCCGATTTTCTGCGGCCTGTTGAGGAGCGGTGTGGAGTGGTGATGCTGTCGCCCAGGAATGCCTCTCCCTCTGGAGTGGCACAAAGACTCTAAGACCGAGAGAGGTCATGTAACAGGAGACAGAGAGAGAGAGAGAGAGAGAGAGAGAGAGAGGGGGTAACGCGTGAATACAGATATACTGGTGCCCAGGTCTTGCTGTCAGAAAGGATACAACAAGCAAACAGGACTTGAGCTGGAGCATGTATCCAACTGCAACAACTGCAAATGCACGGCATATCTCGGTACCCACTTGGAAACATTTGCAGCTCTGTGGGCTTATCAGAGATTTCAGCTGTGTGGGATCAGTTCCAAGGCTTAAAACATGGATGGATATAAATAGAAGTATTTTTGGAGAAGAGGAGAGGTTTCTCACTAAGCTTGATCATAAAGCTTATGGTGGGGGTCAGATTGTTTGCTATAAATAAATCTTTCAGCACTGAAATAGAGAGACGTGCCCTTTTATGTTGGGCTTCATTTGTAGTGGTTTAAAGGCAGGCGAGAGATACGCCACTGGCACGAAAGCAAAAATGAGTCTGTATGATTTTCTTTCAGGATTTAAAGCCAAACACTTCACTTTCTAAACTCAGAAAAAAAGTCATACTTAAATTACTCTTCACAGCACTTACAAAGCCCACAGAGATAATGCGTAACAGCATAAAAGCTACACTTCAAACATTAGTTTTTTTTTAAAATAGCAAGAAAATACTAAACTTTCACCTAGTTTTTTTTTTTTTTTCAGAGCATTGAACATTTGGCGGTTATTACACATGTACTACGCAGATTTGAGAAGTGCAGATCCACACAGTTTCAGCAGATCTCAGATTTAGAGAAATGTAGACATCATGCAAGTAAAAAACATCAGAAATCAGAGCAGATTCGTCACAGCAGGGAACCCATAATCACCTGTGAGAACCTCTGTGGCCTACTAACACAGCATAATCCCAGGCCATGTGACCTGTGGAGCAGACAGCAGCACTGTTGACCAGACCTTTGACCTCACACAACGTACTTAAGCACTTGGTAGCTGTCTGAGTGGATAATACCATCAAAAACAACACAGCAACAAGATGGAAAGATGTCCCATTATTTCAGTTATTGCAAGCTGTAATTTATATTAGAGGGAAAAATATGTTTCTATCAAACCACACTGATTCCTTCAGAAAATTTTGGAAGCTGTACCCGACTCCTACTCCACAACAGTGGATAAATACAAATTTAAAGGACATGTAACATATTTTAGTGCCAGAAATGTTAGTTTGAAACACAAAGAAATAAAACCAACCTTCAGATATTCAAACACGTTCTTTAGAAACAAGAGGAAGCTTTTGAGTCATGCCCTGTTACAATTGTGGCTTTGCATCTGTGAACCCTGACATATTGTTTCAAACCAAAACATCTCTCGCAAATCACAGAACACATTGATTTTTCGGATAAAAAGAACAGATAAATTAATGTAGTGAGGAATTCTTCCATAGAAATCATCTATGTAGTGAAACCTGGGTGAACTTCGTGGACGAAATCAAAAGTCAGGGGGACGGGGTTCTCTTCACTCAGTCAAAACCAGTCCCTCTGTTTCAAACAATTTGTGTTCCAAGATTAGAAAACAACTGAAATCTTAAATAAATAGAAGAAACAACAAAAACTGAGTGATGAAGACATAGCACAGTTCAGGTTTATGACTGATAATTCAAGTGGACAACATGGACAACTAGCTACATACGCTTCCACAGAGTTTGAATGCTCTGATGGAGAGGAATAACGTTTGGTCAGCTTCATCACTGTAGTGGAGAAAATCCCTCATGACTAAAAACACGGGCAGATTATGTGGAGAAAAAGTGAGACTTGCACAATCACTGCAAGTCTCTGTCGTCAGAAGAAACGGGAGGGCTGATGGGGTTAAGAGTAACAATGGTAGTCAATGGTTAGGCGCAAAAATAATGATATATGTCCTTTAAGGATAGCAAACATTTAAATGCATATCTGTTAGAAAAACCTTAAGACTTCAAGGTTTACCTGCGTTTCCAGGTGTTTCGCTGATCGAACAGTTGTTGTCATTGTTCTGCACCCGCATCGGAGGCACCACAACGGTGCGTATTGTAGGCTTGCTGGGCTCAGTCTCGGGGGCAACGCACGCCACGCGCGGCTCACAGTTCTGGTTGCTGTCGGCGATGTAGCGGCGCTCGGTAAAGGGACTGCTGCTGTGGCCGGAGTTGTGCGAGGCAGGCGAGCTCTCCACCGTGTCACAACCGCTCTCCTGTTCGTCATCCGACATGCTGGAAGAGGTTGACAAATCAGGTGTTTCTGTTGAATTCGAAATGTGTAAAATGCCCTGGATGTAAAAAAAAATAAAAAAATAATAGAGCTTTACCTATTGGGTTGTTTGCATGGGGAGTTGTTGGACTGGGCTGAAGCTGAAGAGCTGGTGCTGAGCGTGCTGTCTGGACTGCTGAGAGAACATACTCTCTCCATACTGATGGTGCTCTGACATGCTTCACAATCTGCACTGCCCTTACACCTGTGTGTTGGTAAACAGAGCAAAAATAAGATGCAAAAGCCTTTAGAGAATGAGAAACGGACAACTCAGCCTGATGCTCAGTACTTACTCGCCCATCGAGTGTCTTTGTGCGTCCTCCTCCTCATCGCTGCTGATGCTGATGACGCTAACAGTCGGGCTGGCGAGGCCAGAGATCAACATTTCCTGCCGCTGCTCCTGCGAAACCGAGAGCTCCTCGCAGTCCGGCTCCACTTTACAGCAGCTCTCCTCGTCGTCCTCCTCGACCTGATCCTCCGCTCGCCCCTCTCCTATGACGTGCCCTTCTTCTTGACATCTGGCTCCCTCCTCCTCAATTTCCTCCACATTCTTTGCTGTATCGGCCATCTTTGGGGACTGGCATGCCACATTCTGGATGTTTGTGTTTTGGGAGGTGCTGCTGCCCCTGCGCAACGAACAGAAAAAAAATGTCAGTTCCCATAGGTGCATGTTTCCCTGTCTTTCTTAATTATGAAAATCCACGTCAAGCACCTGTTCACACAAGGCTTTGCTCGCTTGTTTGCCGCTGGCTGTGGCCACACCACGTGTGCGATGCCTATGTTGACCGGTTGGTGGGTGGACATGGTCATTTGGTTGGTTAGGAATGGCTGAGGGTGTGCAATCATGGAGCTGAAATGGTTACCATGGGGACGCACTTTCCTGCAGCAAGAAAAATAAAAGCCAAAAGCCGTCAGCACAAATTCTGAATGTCAAAGGGTCAGCTTTGAGTCAGAAATCATTAACATTAAGGGGAGGAAACAATACAGCTTCAGCCTACTACATCCATCCCTTAAGCATAGCAACCAAAAGTTAAAAAAAAAAAAAAATAAATAAATAAAAGGCTATGCATATAAAGCTTTGCAATGAAAGTATGTTACATCAAGGATATGTAATACTAAAATAGAAAGGATTCTCACCCCCAGTCACTTAATCTCTGTGTGCCAGTCACAGTGTCAGAAGCCAGTGTGGTTGATGGTGGGGGGACAGATGTAACCTGCTGCCAAGTGGGCACCAAGATCTGCTGGGCACGGCTCGACCAGGCCTGTCAGCGTGTCGGAAAACAACAACTGAATGTTTGACCTACTTTACTTAGGGGTGCACTTTACCTCAGTCTCTCAGCCTAAATACTAGTTGTGTTGGGAATATATTCACAGGACTTTAGCATGTTGTCAGATCACAATCGAAACAGCTTAATATTTTTAATGAAAATTTCATGTGATAGACCAACACAGAGATGGGGAAAAAATATGCAAGATTTTCTAAACTTTTGCAGGTAAATGTCTGAGTGTGCGATGTGCAGGTGAGTTCGGCCTCTTTTAATTTAATACCTCTAAATAAAATTCAGTGCAAAACAACCTCCTTCAGAAGTCACTTATTTGCAAAAATAAAAAATAAAAAAATAGAGCCTGTGTGAAAGATAATCTAAGTAGAAATGCAGCTGTTCTCTGTTGGCTGCGGGCACTTGTTAAGAGAGCATTACAGAGAAGAGTCACATCTTGCGTAGGAGACACAGCAAACACATGACACTAATGTATTTTTTGTCAGATTAGACCAAAACGCTACACATGGAGCAAAAGTAGCACAGCACGTCACTGTGAAACACATCATCCTAACAGTGAAACGTGGGAGTGGCAGAATTATACTGTTGGGATGTTTTTCTTCAGACTATTATTAGTGGCCACAAAAGACTTGAAAGTGGGGTCAAAGTTAACCTTACAGTATGGCAACGACCCTGGATATACAGGCAGAGTTACAATGGAACGGTTTAGATCAAGGCGTTGGCAGACGGAGACCAAAATGTGAGAATTTGAGGCGGCTTGCAAAGAGTGGGCAGAAACTTCAGTCTCAAGTTGTGAGAGCAAATTATATTTTCACAACACTTTGAATCAGGGAAGTTGAATACATATGCATGGCACACTTTTCCCATTTTATTTGCGAAAAAAATCAAAAATAAAAATTACAACTCTGTATCCTCTCCTTCCACTTTTACACTTATGCACCATTTTACATTGTTAACATACCAGAAAATAAAACAGCTGAACATTTTTGGTTTGCGATGTAATGAAACAAATGTTAAAAGAAAAGTTTGCAGGGTATGAATGCTTTAAGTTATTAGTGTAATCCTTATCCAACCCCTACCTGAGTGATGACTCCAGGTCTGATCTGCAACGGCTGGATTGATGGTGCTTGAGTCACCAGAGGTACAGAGGCCTCCATACGGACAGAGTAGCCAGCTGGTTTAGCAGTATTAGTGGGGATACCTGAAGATGCAAATAACAGGATGTTTGACCTTTAGATATTTACAGAAAAAAAAAATGATAAAAGTGAAATTGAGACTGACAGTCCCATTCAGTACCTGGTATTGTCGGGGGACACAGAATGAGAGCTTGCTGAAACGAATCATTGCATCCAAACTGACCACCGCCAGTCTGCAGCGGTATCCCATGGTGCATTACTGACGGCGCAGGTGGAACTAAACCCTGAAAAAACAGGATAAAAGCAACATAAATATTTTATTCTGCCAGTAGGTGGCGACAGCTCTATGAACAGAGTTTGATTTTCAGTTGGACAGAATTAAGGAGAACGTGTTGGACCTCGAATCTACGACAACAAAGTCACTGCTCTGACAAGTTTAAAATTTAGACAAAAAAACATACTCAGAGCCCACTTCTTTAGGATAAAGTGATCAAGTCAAGGCTTTGCTACTATCATCACATGTCCAAGCTGATAAAAAATGTCTTTTTATGGGATTGATTTATCCAGGCTGACCTGCCGAGGTCAGCCTTGTTTGTTGAATCTGGACACTTACCAGGAGAGCTAACAATGCTGAGCGGAAATAAGTCAGACCCTTTAAATAGTGGAACATGTGCTTTTGCTTCTCTGCTAACCCTGCTCTCGTGCCCGGGTATAATCACATTTAAAGGATAACGAGAACTAGGGCTATATTGTTCTGCTACTGCTACTGCGTGTAGCCCAGCCCCCCCATACACATGATGGTGAACACAAAGCAGGCTTTCATATGGGTTAGACCAAATCAGTTACGACCTTCTCCTACAAACGCCTTCTCAGCAGCATTCGATGCTGCTTAAAATTGGAAATGATCAAACCTATTTAGTTATGCATGTGGAAAGCAACATGAGACTTCTAATATTTGTAGCTGCCTGCAAAAGAACATTAATATGTAAATATTTGTATCTTTCTAGTTTGTTTTTTTTTTAAACTCAGCATGATTGCTTTCAGGTAAAGATGTTGAGCACTAGAAAAATCCAAAACAAAACAGGTTAGGGGGGCCTCGTCTCCTCTTTTCTTCTCGGCAACAACAGTGATTTGTACTGTTGCCATGACCTCAGAAACATGACGTGATTTTGTTGCCATGACAGCAGTGCTAGGACGCAATAAGACAGGCAAGACGGCATACAAAATGGGTAATAAAAGCAAGAAATCAGTCTCTGTTCCTTTCATTTGTGTTGGAACAAATGAAAGGAACAGAACATTGGATGTCAGGAACCTGCAGCATTTGCTACTCCGTCATTCCGTTTCCAAGAAATGTTCTTTTTACTCATTTGTTATCTACCAAAAGAAATTATTAATCTTCTGAGAACATGCATATTTGTTGGCTGATCTAATAATTGTTCTTGCACGGGTTTGGAAAACACAAATCTCCATGCACAGAAGTGGAAGTTGCTACTAAAAACAAACTCTGGACAACTTACTTGAGTGTGAACACCTGGGATCTTACTGAAGGGGAGGTTGGCTGAGGCAGCAGTGGTTGTAGTTACAGGTCTAACGAAAGGACCTTTGTTTCTGTTGGCCGCCTCGTACCCAGTGGGACGAGTCCAACAAACGTCCATGATGTGGAAACACGACTTCACACTACGGACAGGAGAGAGGGTACGTGAAACAATCGCAATAATCTGCAGAATGTCTTAAAATGCGAGACCCAGCTGACTCACTGGTTGCTGTGGGGGAAGTCGAGCAGGTGTTGCATCGTCACAAACGGGTGGATGAGCGCTTCGGCAGGGGCGATCCTCTCTTCTGCGTCGATCAGCAACATCTTCTTGAGCAGGCCCACGAACTCCCGCCGGTCAGCCTTCTCCGCTAACAAGTCACAACCTTCCAGATTCATCATCAAGTTCACCTGTAATACAAAGGGTTGCATTTTTTTTTTTTTTTTTTTAAAAAAAATGTGCAGTTAGCACAACTGGCGTCAAGACACAGAGTCTGTGAGCTCTCCCAAGAGAACACAAACCTTGTTGTAGCCATACTTTTTTTTTTTTTTTTTTTTTAAAGCTGCCAATATTACAAAATCCAAATTTGCAGAAGAGGTAGAAAGCTCAAAGGAATCAAAGGACTCAGATTTGCTGCAATCCATTCAGCTTTCCTGCTATCTGCTGAAAGTTTGCCCTCTCATAGTATGAATGAAGGGCAGACAAACTCAACATGTCAGAGAATACTAATTTAATTTCTCTGACTTCCTTTTAACCAACTTAGCATCGTGGATACGAGGCATTCACAGATCCAAATAGGATCTTTTTTTTTTTTTTCTTTTCAATTTCTGACCAGCCAGTCATAGACTTAGGGCAAAACCACATGATTTTGGACAATTGTTGATGAATCTCCAATAAGAATAAAACATTACAATAAGTTTTGTGACATGGAAGGATTTTATCTAAAAGGTAAATTATGACAAATTCTATATGAATTTCCTAAAATCTCAAAAAAAAAAAAAACCTACAAAATTTTAAAAGTACTGAGAAAACAGAGGAATTTGCCAGTTCTGAGGAAGTGGCCGCTGGAAGCTTGCGTTATAAACTTTAAGCTTGGAATTTCACAGGGGGAAAGATTTTTCTTCAAAGTGATGTCAGTCACTTTCCTCTTATGACCTAACACGTACATTTCAGTCCAAAGAGCTAAACATACGTGCGCTATGTCATCCAAACAGCTGAAGATGTACTTCCTCGCTTCCTTTGATTTCATTCCCGTCTCCGTCTCGTGTTCATCTGTTGACTGCAGAACGAGAAAGCATCCAATGAGAATCCCAGACAGAAATGCGGTGAAACATTTTAGGCATAAATAAGCAGCAACCACGTCAAACAGACTGCGAACAAATGTTTTCTTTAAAAACTCAAGTATGACTTGTATCTTGAAGCCATCATTTCCTGTTCTATTGGAATTGCAAGCATTTGCCAATAAAAAGTAGAGTACAATTTTAAAAGCAGCTAAGGTTTGATCTATGACATTCATCTTTAGCAGTTAGCAAAATAGGACCACAATCTGTTGCTTCAGAGTTATACTGTTCCATGTTTTGTCAGTTCCCACCTTCAGTCTCCACGCTGCATAAGGCGAGTCCGACTCTTTGCAAAAGAACCGTGCCGTCTTTGTCCCCGTATTCAGTAATTGTTCGCCTGGCAAACCTTGTGTCTGTGAGATGTAGCGAATCTACAGGACAAAAAAAAAAAACAGAGAGAATCAAAGAAAGATGAGCAGAACTCAAACATTTAGCAATAAAAGAACTATTAAACTGTCTGGTTTAAAGTTTAATAATGTCGCTTTATCGAAGAATTTCATAACAGATGCACTTTGCAAACTCACATGCAGCGACAATTCTCCACTCCCCCCATTAAATTGGTCTGAATAGAAGTTTGAAGAGTAGAAACAACTGCACAACCATTTAAGACGCCCTTTCCCTGTGAAAAGTCTGAACCTGTCGTGCAAAAGAACACCAGCATATCGACTGCAGTTTGTGCAGATAATGACTGAAAAATGCCAGATAAACTCTGATATCAAGGCTCCCACAGTTTGAGTGCTTTCCACGGCAACAGCGGATAGCAGTCAGATGCTGTGGTGCAAGAATGTCACACGCAGATTTTTGAAATGAGTGGCGAGAACCCTGGCTGACGTCAATCACACCTGAGTGTGGAGAACAACAATCATTAGAGATTCGGCGCAGCTTATAAGCACAGAGACCCGCTTAGAGAAGGATGAGGGGTGTGGAAAAAGTCCAAACAGCCACGTAGTCACACATTTGATCCTTAAAGATCTACCTAACAAAATGTCCATAGAAATGAAGTTCCATTCATTTCAACTCTTTTGCTCTCTCATCCATTGTACATATATCTTTTTTTTTTCCCCCAATTTAATAAAAGCTTCTTCATTGAAAATGTTTGCTAGGCACCATTTAATGTGTGTTTTCACAATGCCGGTGCAAAAAACTGCGATTTGTTTTAGTGTGGGTGGGACCGTTTGCTCAGGTTGGCTTGTCACAAACCCACTATATTGCTAAAAGTTTTGGGAACACATCAAGAACCTTACTGACATCCCAGGGCTATAATACGGATTTAATACGATGCTGATCCACGCTTTGCAGCTGCAACAGTTTCAACACTTCTGGGAAAAAAACTGTCCACAAGTCTTAAGACTCTGTTCATGTGAAAGTCTGCTCATTTTTCCAGGAGAGCATCAGTGAGGACACACACTGATGTCGGATGAGAAGGTCTGTCTCTGTTAATGTTAAAACACGGTCAATGTCGTTCTGTTTTGGGTTCAAACAAATGTACACCCAAGATTTCCACGGCAACAGCGGATAGCAGTCAGATGCTGTGGTGCAAGAACTGATGTCCCAGCTAATGGAAAAAGTATCATTATTGTTGTACTATTGTCCTTACTGTACAGCTTGTTGTTCTGTTTTCATTTATTTTTAATACTTTCATCCTTCTGTGAACCTGCATGCCTCAACATCCTGCCGCTTTGCTGCTGAATTTCCCCCCCTGTGGGACAAAAAGGGGGATTTCCATTCTATTCTGTTTGATTGAAAGTCTTGCTTCAGGCAGAGGTCTTCTGGGTTGAGTTTTAGTTCCTTTGGGATTTTACCACCTTTCCACCACTTTACCTTCCAAATTATTTTCATCATGGTGCACCAGGGAATTCTTCTGCTTTGTGACAACCTAAAAAAAAACATCTAGGAAAGTAAATGGGATAGTGGAAATCCCCGAACGTTCAATGCGTATCAATATTGTGCGCTTTCTTGTCTTTTTTTTGCAAATTCCCCTATATTTATATTTTTCCTCAGCAGTGGTGGATTTGAACCCAAAGCATAATTCTTCCTTTCATTTTTCTGTGTCAAATATTTACATCTGCTAAAAAAAAAAAAAAAATAGAAACAGAAAGTATTTTCTATGGAACTTAGTAGCTGCACAACAGCAACAAAAGGATATGGATCCTTGTGGGTGGAAATTCTTGCGACAGGAAAACCCTCATTTTTCCTCGTTCGGTGAGATTGTGGCGCGAAGCTTCGACTTTACAAAACAGCTATCTGTTGGGCTGGACCTGCTGCTAAACAGACAGTGAGCACAGACTGTACAGATAGCCCTTCCTCATAACAAAAGTATTACAATCACACAGTCTGTCTTTTACATGCCTGATGTCAATGTGTCACGTGTGACGTCAAGAGACAACTGTGCCACCTTCCAAAGAGGATAATTCCCTCAGCGGCCTTTACACTTCTAACCTCACTTAATTTCTTTTTTTTTTTTCTACAAGCCGAGTAGTGCCAAAGACAAAAGAAACAACTGCAACAACTGCATCACTTGCAGTTTTTTTTTTCTTTTTAAGCCACAAGGCAGAACGATGATCTATAACTGCTTGCAGATTCACCGTTTGTCATGTCATGAGAAGCTTTGTATCCTTGTAAAGTATAAGATAGTGAGACGAGGCAATGAGGTAAGAAGAGGAGGACCGAGAGAAGAGGAAGAGCCAGAGTTATAAATACAATATGCTGCGTGGGATGGAACAAGACCCCAAAATGAAAGGTAAGAAGAAAGGGGGAAGACGGGTTGCAGAAACGTCATGAGCTGCAGCCAAATCATCCGGTGACCCCGGGATGATCATTCACGCCAGCAGGCAGCTGCTTGGCAGATTAAAATAAGATTAAATTAGTTATCAATCCAATGTTTCTTCTTTTAAACTCATTTATTGTACTTAAAGGCACGAAGTGATGTGAAAAAAGTATTTATCCTGCTCCTGTTTTGTTAGAACATCAACAAAAGGGGATGCAAATACCTGGGTAAAAACAAACTACAAATTTCAAATCAAGGCCAGAATACTGCCAGACTTGTAGACGTGTAAAAAGAAAAAAATAGACGAGACGCAAAAACCACAGACACCTGGCTGTCTGAAAAGGATTACAAAGTCACAATCCACAACTGGAGAAAGATCAACATCTCATCCAGGAGTTTCCAGATGAAAAAAATCATCTGCTGACCAAAAGGAGTATAAAGCCTCCACTCTGATGATGCCCAGGGTGAGAAAATATTCTGTGGACTAATGAGATGAGGTGGAACGTTTACGAGCATCTGGACGGATCCCAATCTGGTGTAAAACTAACACTGCATTTTATAAAAACAGATCTAAAGCAAGAGATGAATGTGACGGCAGTGGGATGGTCTGGGGGTGATTTGCTTCTTCAAGGCCTGGACTTTATTGATGGAACCATAAAGACAAATGTCCAGCCATCAGTTTCTGACCAAATATGGCTGAAATACAACAATTTTGTCAAGAAGAGTGGTCCAAAAATTCCTTCTTAGTGATGTAAAAAACTATTGCCAGCTATCAGAAATGCTTGATGGCCGTTGTTGCTGCCAAGGGTCACCCAATTGGTTGTTAGATTCAGGGGGAGCAATTGCTTTTTCACAGAGACTCACATCGGCTTAGATTTACCCAGTTTGTCTTTGCTTAACAGTAAATGTGTGCAATGATGAGAAGTAGCTTTAAAAAAAAAAAAGAAACAGAAGCAATGTATAAAGGAGCAAATATTTAAAAAAAACAGTTTATTTCAAAGATCTTTTGTGCCACTGAGAACTTTACAATGCACAAATAACAATTTTGCTCTTTGATGGCTTCGACTGACCGCTGTGGACATTTCCATGCTGCACCCTGCTTCGCGACAGCAGTCAGGACTTGGCGGAGGTAGACATGTGGGACAGGCGTCGCATAGCACAGGTTACTCGGAACATTTCAACAAAGAATAAAAAGGAAGCCCACGTCCAACTTTCAATTTCTGTCACCGATTAAATTTGGTGGGTTTTGATCTCTAGCCAATAAATTTACACACGCCTTTCTCTAACCTCTACTAGTTTTCAGAGTCATTGTCTCCTACAGTGGCAATATATTTTTTTTTTGTAGAATTTTTTTTCTCTGTCCTCATCTTATCAACTCCAGACAGTCCCATATTAAATTTAGAAGGTCCCCCCGAGATATTTCTAAAGCAGCTTTGCCGACAGACTGACTTGTTCTTATGAAAACAGATTAATCATCTTTAGACTTTGGTGCCACTGTGCTCAAGTCAAATCTCCTTTCGGAGATGTTGAGTTATCTCTTCTGTCGCAGTTCTGTGAAGGGTGAAAAACGATGCCAGAGCACAAAAATACATCGCTGTGAGTGCAACGGTTGCAATATGGGATGCTGCAAGGGACAGAAGAGGATCTAACTGAGACTCTGTTGGTAGGTTGTGAGTATACACGGCTCTGCAGCGGGGGAGGGTGGGGTGGGGGGAAAGCCGCTCAACATAAGCCCTGATCTGTCTAGTCCAAGGAAGATAAGATCAGGGGTCTGCTGGGAAGGGGAGGCGTCCAGCAGCTCCCAACATACATGCCGTCATTCACTAGAATGTGCTGTTCTGCTCACTGTAACACACACCAGCTGACGCAACCCTTCAGGTAAGTATGTCACCGAGAAACATGTTTGCACCGCGCCACATTTTTCTCACTGTAAGCTACATGAGCAGCGTATCTTCATTGGTTTAACAAGAAGTCGCCATGTTTGTTTTTACAGGTGTCACTATTTTAAAAGTTTAAATACTGTAATGAACGTCTTAAGTAAATGTTACACTTTGACATTTATTTATGTTTTACGTTGATTGACATTGCTCTAAAAACTACATTTACATTTTAATGGAAACATGCTTTTTGGGAAAAGCAGAAGAAAACTGGCTAATGGGGAAGCTGTTTTGTAAGTAAACCCAGAAAGGAATACAATGAACTCCATCCTCTGTAGGTGAATAGAAAAGTAGTAAGAGAGGAGAGATGATGGACGCAATCAGCCTCTCCAGTTTCAAGGTGGAAATAGGAGACGGGGAGGCTGTAGATATGGGTGTAGCTTCAAAGGAAGGAAAGTCCACTTAAAAACATTAAAGCGCAGAAGAAAACAGGTCCCAAAAAAAGAGACTGAGTCATGAAAGATGGGTGCAAAAAAAAAAAAAAAGGAGAAACTGCTTAGTGAGTCATATAACAACATAAGTTCTGTGCTAGGATGACAAAATCCTGACAAATATAGCGGCCAAAAGCCATTGGCCGATAAACTGTGAGAGGTGAGAAGAAGGTTGTTTACCTGGTCGTACTCCAGGGCCCCGGGGTAAAGAGGCCAGCCCAGAAAAAGCTCAGCAATCACACAACCTAGGGACCACATGTCTATGGCTTCACAAAACGGCAATCCCAAAATGATCTCTGGAGCCCTGTGGGACAGATACACACATCTGTGAGTCCAAAGCAAACTGCAACAGGAAAAATTTAGACATCTTAATCACAAAATACCGACATGTTTAAAACATGTTATTTAAAAAATGTTTTACACACATAAGGGGTGTGCGGTGGGACGACAATATGAAAAATCCTTGTAAAAGTCTACACAAAAACAGAAGTTAACGTATTAAAATAGAATATAAAAGAAAAGTCCTTCATTTTGACATAAACCCTCATCTGCACACATCGGGCTTTTCGTATTTGTGCAGTTAACACCTGTTTGATAAAGCTGTGCGATTCCTGATGACGTTCGCTTTGATGGGATTGTCGTAGATGTGTAATAGAGCTAACCGACGCGTAAGCCGGTGTTGTGTGTGTGTGACAGAGCCACGTCGCAGCCTGCTGTGGCAGTGGGTAAGCAGGTCAGCCACAGCGGGACCAAAACTTTGACAGTCTGGAAACAAAGTGAGCCCTTTTTTTTTTTCCTGTGAGGCGCCTCGTTGTGCCCTCATAGCTAGTCATTTTATTACTTCACTACTCTGTGAAAGGAGTGGTGAAGGAGGCTGTTAGAACCACTAAGATGTGTGTACAAAAGACGCAACGTCTCATTGTTCATTTCACAAAAGTCAACCAAGACCGATAAATATAATCAGAATATTATTTTATCTGTTAAATCATAATTACATTTTAAAAAAAGCAAAGAATTGATATTTATTTCAACATCAGTATTCCTTTCTCATCTGCACAGGTGACGGTAATAGAAAAGCAAACGGGGAAACTTGAGTAACGGGGATCCGTTTCGCTTCTGTTCAGCAAATAAATGTGAAACCGTTTACCGGCATGAAACAATCCAGAGGATAGAAATGATCTAAAGAGTGATGCAGGATCTTCTGTTACATCCTGTGTTTGCTGTTCCACAAAGCTCAGCATGCCGACAAAGAAGAGTCCTGTGCTTTTATGTCGGACATATTTAAAGTGACCCAGGAAATGCCTCCTCCATGACGTCTTTAGAGCCATATGGGGCTTAAAGCACGCAGGGCGTGTGCAGCAACAGCAGGTCCGAGGCGCGCTAAATTTGGGTTTTAGATCATTTTATCACTCAAAGACAATCACAAGCAACAGTTGGTGGGTTAGCCAACGCCGCTTTAGAAAAGCACTCAGGAAGTTATGCTGGCTATTTCAATCTCACAAGCATGTCTTAAACAATATATATATATATATATATATTTTTTTTTTTTTTTCCCCCCCAGGACAAGCTTTTTTTTTTTAATTTCATAAAATGAAAGTTTTTTTAAATCAAAACAGTTTGACATGTTTTCCCATGTCATGACATAATGAACATGCTATGTTTGTTGGAAAAAAAAAAAGTCTGCTGCTTTGCTTATACACTAAACTTCCCTTATCACACACCACTGGAACAGGAGCTCTTTACGGCTTGCTTTATCACCACTATCCTGCTTTGGCAGAGTGGATATTTATTTTGGAAAAATATCTTCCATAGTATCTGATGAGAGCCACTGAGCCTTTTAGTGAGACACTGGAGTGACAGATGTTTTGTAATCAGCCCCTAACGGTCATTGATTCTGTTGCACTTTAAGCCACTTCCTCATTGAAAATCTTGTCTGACGGTGGGTGAATGCGTGCGGTTTTCCAGCGTATGAATCCCCACTTCATCCTACCTTCTTTGTGTTCTGTGGTTCTCACTCCTTCCAGCTGCATCCATAAAATTAGCGCAACAGTGAAACTAAACTGAAACAAAAATAAACTAGAAAACAGCACGTCTTTGTTGCATAGCCTGAAGAGATGAGTGGAGGTTGCCATGGTTGCACGGTTCCATCCAGATCAACCCAAGGAAGGTCTTGTCCCTTGTCCCCCACCTCCTTTCAAATCAAACCTGTTTTTCAATCTAAGAAAATGACGTAAAACACCAGGAGCCAATGAACAGCGGAGAAGCAGAAGCCTTGTGATGTTTACACCACGTGCAAAAACCACAGAACAGACAGATGGGAACAAATTCAAACGCTGACATATCTCGTCTTCCTCAGGTGCGTCGCACAGTTGGGTCATGACAGATAACACAGAAGGAAAACGAGTATCGTTTTACTGCAAAATTACTCAATTCATCAAAGCAACACCTAAAGGAAGAATTACATATATATATTAAAAAAAAACTATACAGTCAGTTTGTTACAGTCAATTCAACTGTGATGCTTTAGAGATCTACAAATGAAAGGACGCGTCATATCAGATCTGCTGACTAACACTGAAAGTGAATGACTAAGAACCAGACATTTGTTCTCAGCAATGTTACTTTTGCCTGATAGCCACAAAAGTTCCCGCACTGTCTCTTGTGTTACGTAAGAAACACTTAATAAAACCCCTTGACAACAATAAAGAGTGATTTTAAATAACAAGAAACACAAATGTTCCAAATGCAAAGCGGTAAACATGGACTGGGTTTATATCAATTGTCTCAAGTGTGACGTCAATCCCAGAGTGAAACCAAAACAAGCCCAATCAGCGGTGGCATGCTTTTGTTTCTCTTGGCAAAAAAACAAAGTAGCTCAAAAAAAAAAAACTCCCTGGAAACACATCATCTTTCTCTCTCTCTGTGCTCAGTTGTTTCAGTACCTGCTGCTGCCGTACAAACACGTCTCGCTGCCTACTGCTCAGTTACACATTGTAAGGAAATGTTTTGTTTGTAAAACAATGCAAACATGATGGTTTTTGTATGCACTGAATTACCGACTGAAGTTTGGAGGGATGTATCAAGTAATGTAATGAGTCAGCTCCTCTATCCTGATATCCTGAGTACTGAAACATGTCTGCTGGCCTTAGTCTGCCTTTATTATTAATACATTTATGTCTCCTGTTGCTTTAAATCACCAGAGGTAGAAGAGGCTGAATAAAACCTGAGTAAATATATACACATGACACTTTACTTAAACCTAACCACATGAAACAAACTTTCTTTTTGCCAACAAGAGAAGTAACTAATTTCCACATGGCTTTGTTGGCATTGGGAGACATGTTAGTGGGCATAAATTAACTTCATCATCATTTTTTATTCATGGCCATTATACCAATGTCCAGAAATAGCCCTGTAACTCACCCCTGTTCTGTCCTCAGAGGGAGAGGCGGTGTGTAAACTGCCCACAGCACAGCAAACATGGCTGGCCACACCTTCGGAGCTGATCAGTGTGTGCAGCGTGCTCACACAGGTCTTTAACCAAAACTGAGAATCAGAGAAACTCAGCGGGACTCAGACAAAAGTATGCTTTAAAGCTCGGTCACAACGAGAGACCGACAACATGGCTGCTTCATAATGAGAGAGCGGAGGCTTAAAGCATGTCTCTTCCAGGAACTGTAATTCCACACACTCTCTGGGCATCCTGCATTATTAAGTGGAACACAAAGACAGCTTTGCAGAGGGAGGAAGAGGCGCATGCACTCTGATCTGCTCAGACTTTGGATTAAAGACACAAAACTTTACACACGTTTTACTGATTTAAACTGAGCTCTGTGTCAACGTGGAGTTTACTTCCCCCAGGTTAGGTGTAAACTCGCTTCTGTTGTTTTGAGGTTTAATACAATTAATGCTTGAAAGCTTATGAGTCTAATTCTGTTATTCAGGTCACTCTAAAGTAGAGAGCAGACAAAGAACATTTAATCACTTCCATTCTTTGAAGATTGAAACACATTTCTTAGGCGTGAATATTGCTGCAAAGAGTCAACTTTGAAATTTTAACATGGAGATTTTGCTTGACTTTGTTTGATTCACGATAAAGTTAAGCTAAAGTTAAAGATGTCCTTGACATCCTTGGAAGAGAGGCATCACGGCCTCAGTCTCAAAATATACCATCTCAAGTCATTTTATCCCAATGAATATGAAATGCGCAGCAGGAGGTTCATTTTAATCGCTGAATGCTGCTTTCATTTTCTCCGACAGTTATACTACCAGCTTCAAAGGGCATGCTGAAAAGATTAGCTTTTACTGTAAAGTAGCAATGTAACACCACTTAATGTTCTTGGACCTCAGCTTTCTGCCGGAATAACACCAATAATCTTACAGGAGAAAGGATAATTATGTTTTCATTGAGCTCATATTTGTTCTCTTTTTTTTTCCTGTTATGAATAATATCCAACTCTAAAACGCCATGTGGAATTAATAGCCGACAACTGAAATTATCAAGAAGCGGTGATTGTGAGGTGGTGAGGATTAACGCTGAGGCCCAGGTTACGGTGATGATGAAGATGATTTAATAAAGAACAGTCCAATACAGGCGGCACGGCAGAGAGTAAAGCACACAGCTAATTACCAGTAGCAACTGATACACTGAAGACTGAAAATGAGAGCTAAGCAGACCAGGACTTCTCAGTTCAACTGGAGAGCCGACACACAACAACTGACATACGACGACAGTAGACGAGGACCCGACAAGAGACAGAGACAACAGCTGGGCTTAAATACACAGGGAGGGTAATCAGGTAACTAGACACACCTGGGAAGCAAACAACAGGGAAGACAGGACAGGACTAAACACAGAAAACCTCAAAAACAACTACACAGAAAATACAGAACATAACAGAAACGTAATGTTTAACTTATAGATTTTGTTTTTACTGCAACATTGGCATCGAAGTATATACACAGAACTTCACTACTTCCTCAATACCAGCAGAGACAACGTTAGCTAGAATGGTGAAGCAGAGCAGATGTTTGTCACGGACACGTGACAACAGTTGGCTGCACGAAGTAATAAAAGTGCAATAAAATTTACAACAGACATGTGAGAACACAATCAAAGCATTATGCTAGGATTTGTTTCATCTCTTTTCCAAGTTTTAAACGGTGCGCAAGAGTTTAAAACCAATCATACAAAAAAGAGGGCAGTAAACGGTTTAGAAAAAGCTTCTCTTCATTAGCCAACACACAAAATCAAGTTTGTGAGGCAAAGAGAGGTTTGCAAAGTAGCTTTCACAAAACATCTGCATAAACTCAGTTATATCTAGTCGGATGTCCTTGTATTGTCTTGTTTGTACAGGTGTGTGTGTATATATATATATATATATATATATATATATATATATATATATATATATATATATATATATATATATATATATATATATAAAGAATAAGAGCATATCCTAAATCAAAGAATGTAGCATGCACAGATCCCAAAACATAAGGAAGCACAGATTGCCCAGCAGGTGACCCGATTAGGCTGGTTATCAGTTTGGCTAGACTGACCCGTGACCAACGTATCAGGCGCTCAAATACGAGATGCATTTTTTTTCCTTCTTACTCTGGTCAGTGAACATACAATAGAGACACATTTCCACTCACTTCCACTAACCAGAGATGTCTCTGATATAAAAGTGTCTGCTCAGAAAATCCCAAAGCTAGCAGTTATAATAAATAAAAAGTAACAAGTTAAACAAAATGCATTAAAAGCAAACTGATCTATTAATCATATGCATTAATAGGTAAGATTTTACTTTTCAACATTTTTCTGTTTCTCCTAAATACTCAATGCTGCTGACATTTAGGAAGAACTGATAAAAATGTTTGCCCAAAGAATGTTTTGTTCTTTGCCTTTACTTTTTATTTAATTTACATATCTGTAAACATAAAGTATCTTGTTGTTCATAAAAGATGAGTAGTATAGTACCGTTTTATTTATCACTAGAAATAAATTTGGTCACTAGTCAAGAGCATTTTATTTTTAAACTTCTAAGGGGATGGCAAAAGTAGAATACAACATTCTGGAAATCAAAAAGCAAAGTAAATGAACATATTTTTAATACTTTGTTTATGTCACCTGAAGCTCCAAAAATAGACTTGTCCAAAGTGTAAAAAATGTAACCACAAAAAAAAACAACACAGAAATCAAAATAATAACACAAATAACAAAAAAAAAACTTATAAAAATCAAACAAGCACAACATAGTTTTACTAAACAAAACCAAATGCAACGTGGCATTAAAAATAGACTAAAAACAGATGAGCTGGCTGTCCTTGAGTTAGTAGGTGGGAGGTCTCTAGTGTTTCAGGCTGTCTGTTTTAGACTTTGGATGCCGACATGTTTCACCATCTATAGAAGTCAAAGCAAACTGGCCAGAGTCCCATGAACTATTTTAAGTCATCCTCTCCACTCGGCCTCAGCAATGCTGCTCCTTCACAGTATGCTTTGCGTATTCTTGCCAATGATGCAGAGAGCAAGTTAAGCAGCGGTAGGCTGCATGTATTTGGTTTTGAGTCATTGCTGGAACTCTGTCCCAACATTGCAGTCAAGTCAAAAACCACAACGCCTGCTATTCATAAAATGTATGACCTGAAAAAATATACAGAAGTTGCTCAAGACTTTTTCATTCAAGTTGTTTCAACTGATGGGGTCAAAAAAATAAAAATCTAGTCATAATCTATTTCACCCATTAATCTTTGATGATAATGATGAAATATTTAATTGGTTTTACTTTTCATTTAGTTTAGCTAAGATGCAACCTGAACAAGCTGAACAGAGAATCCACATTGTGCCGTCAAGCTTATGAGTATATGAAACCTTTTTCATTTTTCTTTTTTTTACAATGTGTGCATGCCTAGTGAATATATAATAAGTCTGTTGCATGGAGTCTGAATTTAGTTATTTATTTTTGACTGCAGGAAGTATCTGAAGCAGCTTAGTCGTCGTTATCATCACAGACAAACAATGTTTAAATTCATTTGTGCAAAGAGATTGTCACAAAATCGTTGAGAGCAGCACTCTCTTTGGTTCTTACTTGTAAACTGATTTGGATCAATGCACGTACCAAATCAAAACAATGCAACAAGCCCACAAAAGAAACACAACGGTGGTTAGACGTCAGTCCATATCGTCACGGCTTTACAGACATTACATTTAGAAGCAGCAGCCGTCAGCAGCTGATAACGCAAATGAAAGATTTGAATTGTGTCGTATCGTACAGTATCAAGTCAAAACAGTAGAAGATGTATCTATGAGCAGGGAATTCGCCATTATTCTGCTGACAGCAACAGGGTTTGTCTTGATTATCCAGGGTTTTCCCCAGTGTATCATAAGGCTGGCGGGCTGCCAGGCTTTACTTGCTCCCTCCCACCAGGCTAAGTGTCATTTCTTTATTCTAAATAGGGCTTTTTATACACGAGTAACAGTGACAGTCATGACTGATTGAACTAGGTTTACTAGGCACGAGGGGGGTGTGCGCCAATTGTGCCATCCCTTCACCTGCCCATTGGCCTCACATGCTATTATTTCCAAATTATGATGCCTGCTTGTGGACTTCTACATTTTTGCAACTTTCAAAAAAACATTTTAACAGAGAAACACGGTGGGCCACTGGTGGTAGTGCCCTTACAATGAGCTTAGCAGGTTTTCTGAGGGAAACCCTGCCATCACAGTTAGCCAGAACAGTCACTGACCTCAAAGGGTGCCCTATGAAGTGTCGAGCATCTAATCCCCTGGAAAACTTCATCCTCCGATTACTTCTGCACATTGTAACTCTGGTTTCCATGTTGTAAACAACCACTTCCCCCAATGAAACACTCTGTGCTTTATGTCAAACAAAATTTAAGCAGACATCCCTGTGAGACCATGCTTAGTGGGTAAACGCTGCCGTCCAACATTCCAAAAGCAGTTCAATCATTTCTTTATGAGCCTGTTTCCGCAGCACATTATTCAACTTCAGCGAAGTCAGGCAGACCCCTGACATTATTACCAAGTCAGCAGAGGTATTGATGTGTGCTGTATCAAAATACAGCGCCACGCATGACGTGTGAGAAACGGCTGTTCACCAAAGCTTCAGGCTGACAGCGCTGACGAACTCCAGCAGCTGTGGTGTTCACTTCCTCCAGCCACAAAAGCACAGAAAACTATGACAGCTCTATTTTGAGCGACTTCCTGAAATAAAGAGCGTTCACAACAACGCTAATAGCTTCTACAGAAACAGCTCATTGAATGAGAAAGGATTAATGAAAATGTACCCAAGGAAAAAAAGAAAACTTTCCACTAATCACGTGTAACTGTAGCTCAATGAAAGTATTCTCTGCTCACTCTGAACAATGAGAAAATCGACTGGAAATGCAAATGCAGACAGTTATCAACTCCCTTTTGCATCAATTTTCATTGATAATCTGAATTCCCAGCAAAGCATGCTGATTCATTTCCTTAGTGTGGAGGCAATGAAAATTATTCAAATATTATGCAAATGATGCTCACAATGACAGCTATGAAGGCAGTGGCACTTTATGCCACTGCCTTCTACCCAGACTGAGAACCCAACTGCCAACCAGCATCTAGGGGATAAGTGGGAGTTTAACTGAAGACAGGTCTGGTAATACCTCACTCAGATTAACTCTCTAGTGACCATAAAATATCCTACTGCATGCTAACCATCTACTAAAGTGTTTTCCACACTGTAAAATCAATAATTCCGGTGACTGCATGGCCATTAAGATACCAAATGACAGAAACTGTATGAGTTGCTTTTGAGCATAAAATTTAATTTACCTAATATTTTAAGCAGAATATTTTAATTAAAAAGGTCTAAAGCTAAGCTTATAAAAAATATCATTCTGGGGTGTGCTGTGGTGGCACAGGGGTTAAGCACAACCCACATATGGAGGCCTTAGTCCTTGAGGCAGCTGTCGCAGGTTCGATTCCCGGCCTTGGCGACCTTTGCTGCATGTCTTCCCCCTTCTCTCATTACCCACTTTTCTGTCAATTAACTATCAAATAAAGGCCACTAGAGCCAAAAAAATCATCATTCTGCATTTAAAGCTGTTTTAGCGTATATATTTCACGCAATTCACAATAATATGTCAACTATTGACTTATTGTCAACTTTTACTGGTAAAATGTAATTCTAAAAAGCTTTTAAGAGTAGTGATGCACTGGACAAACCAGAAAAAAAAAACAAAACCTTGGAAAATCCTGGGTTAACTGTAGTCCTCAAAAACTTGGTCACAACTCTGGTAACTAAATAAATATTCAATCCAGCATGTATTTTTCACTCTTCTTTTGTCATAATAACATTTTTGTTACAATAAATGAATGTCCTGCGTCATTGTCAGGCTCCTGACAAAGGCACTTTGGGACTTTCCATGAAGAGAGCAACGAGTCTGAAGCAGAAAAACACTGCTAGCAGGTGCCTTGCAAAAAATAAAAATCGCCCAATTAGAGAAGCACAGAAGAAATTGGCTGGTCGCCAGACTGAGTAGTCAGAAACTCAAAAATATGTTCTTTTCCTTTTGTGCATTCAGAAATGTTGGGGCTTTTTATAGGTGAGGCAGGGTAAATATCTATATCCTCTGAAAAATATACATGCAGGCTCATCCTTTACCAATGCTATCCAGGCTAACTGCTAATATAAGACACTTCTACAACTGGTTTGTATCTGACTTATGAACTTAGTAACTACAAGTATCAAGTTGTTTTGCTCAAGTTGTTGCTTTTGGCTGGCGAATTACAATATAAGTTTCATAAATCCAATCAGCAACACAGATTGTTCACAAAATCTGTCAAGTATGATTGTCATATTTACAATAACAAAGGACATCAGAGACCAGTCAGCTGTAAGGTCACATGTTTAACCCAAAGAAGGCGTCTCTTAAATATGCAGGTTGCTGTAGAATGTATGGAGGAGATTTCATTAAAAGAGAACAATTGGAATCTCCAAATTAAATGTGTTTACTATTTACTGAGTGAGAAACCTTTATGCTTGTACTCACCTATAGTACCGAGACTGAAGGTACGTCGAACACACCGCTTTGGACACGTGACTGGCTGAGCCGAAGTCTATGACCTTCACCCTGTAGGGCTGCCTCACTGGGTCCACCAGCATTATGTTCTCTGGCTTTAAGTCTGCATGAATCAGACCCATGCTCTTCAATTTTTTCAGAGCTGTAGCTACCTGCTGTAGCACCGGTCTAATCACCTTCAGTGGCAGCGGACTGAACTTATTCTGCTTCAGGAAATCATACAAATTTTGCTCAAGCATCTCAAATACGAGGCAAGTGTGGCTGCGGTGCTGGAAGCATTCGAAGGCCCGCACCAGGTTGTGCTCATCAGCGTTCTCCCCACTCAGGCGTGCAAGGATCCCAACTTCAATCTGACCCTGCCTTGCGTACGAAGGGTGGTTCTTCAGGATCTTCACAGCCACAACCTCCCCAGTCCCCCTCTTCCAGCACTTCACTACCTGGCCGAATGTGCCTCGACCCAAGAAATCTAGCACTTCGTAAGTATTCTTCATGGAACACAGGACTTCGTGCTGTACTACCTGATAGTCCCCATCACCTCCTCCTGTCCCTCCAGTTGCACATACACCCCCATGCCCTACACCCTGTTTGGAGGGGCCTCCCCCAGCCCCAACAGCCGTCGGCGCAGTAACGGCTGCATTCCCCACATTCGTCGTTTGCAACATGGCAGGCAACATAGACAGTTCCTCCACAATCTGCATGGTGCTGCCTCGGTTATCCAGGTCCTCACTTTTACGTTTCAGCCCACATCGCTGAGAGCCGTCAGCTGAGTTCAAACTTTCACAGTTCTCCTCTCTGTCACCCTCCTCCCCCTCTCCTCCTTCCTCAGCTCCCCCACTGCAGCCCTCTCCCCTTCCCCCTCCTCCTGCTCCTGTTGCTCCACCGCTGCTCCCACTTTCTTCAACCGCCTGATGCTGCTGCTCCTTGCCCTGTGAGTCGACGGCCCTCGCCTCCTGTTGCTGCTGGGCCACAAGCGGGCCTGGTCCCCCTCTTCTTTTACCAGGCTGTTGTCTTTGTACGCCGCGAACCACAACCGTCTGCACCGGGTAATGCTCTCCTCCACGTGCTCTCAGGCCCACTGCTAAGTCTCGGTTCACAAACGAATGGGCTTGTTTGGTCGCGTGTGCAATGCCAACGGTTCTGCTGTTCAGAAAGGTCCGCGGATGTGCCCTCTCATGGTACACACAGCTGCTGGGCTCACCTTTGAGTTTCTTCACACTGCTAAAGGCACTTGTCTGGGTTTGATAAATGTGTGGTGGGTAGACCAAGACTTGTGAGGCCATACCTGCAAAAAAGAGAACAGAGCAACATGTTACTAGTGTCCAGGATGGCATTAAGACACAACCAAAGACAAGCAAGCGAGAGTAAGAATTGGCAACCGGCATGAATAGAGTAAAATGTAATGTTCAAATTAAGTCGCTGTTTTCAGGGTGTAAAGCTCTCTTAAGCTCATTTTCTATGTTTGTTTGGTCAAACAATCTTTAACTTAAAGATGAGTCAAAGATTCCAACACTGAAGTGGTTTGTTATCCTGGGCATACACAAATCAACGTAATAAAGTCGACAGAGGCTCAGGAAGTAAGAGTTTGTCCTGTAACTGGAGGGTTGCCAGTTCAAACGCTTCACCCACCTTGCCTGCTAGTGGTAGTCACAGGGTCACAGCCTCGCCTCTGTCAGATTGCATCAGGGCAGCTGAGGCTACAATCCTAACTTGCCACCATCAGCGTGTGAATGTGTGTGTGAATCAGGCTTATTGTAGTGTGAAGTGTTTTGAGGTCCTCTGGACCTGATAAAATGCTATACAAGTCCAGGCAATTTACAGTTTTAAGTGCATCCTTATGAGCAGCGGAAACACAGCCTTTTATCAATGTATCTTCTTCATCCCTTCCTAATTGTATCGACTTTGTGATCAAATGGATCAGTATTAAACCAGACGTAATATTTACAAGCTATTATTAGTTGAATTAAAATATTAGTAACCAGTATGCCGTTCTACGTGAGGCGTTCCACAGAAACACATTATCTTTCCTTGAGATGTCTACTCAAGATAACCGATAACCCTGGATTGTTGTCTGTAGATAGAGACATAAACACTAATAGCTTTATTTGTTAATTTGCTCATGGAGGTGGAGGTGGAACTTTAAATATTACATACTTATTTCATAAAAGGAGTGCATGTAGAGGAGAGCATGACACCTTCAGCATTATGCCATACCAACTGCATTCCCAGCAACACCTCCACACAGCAGATGACTAACTTCACAAAGGTTTGTCTGACCTAATCCTGCCATTTTCATGCATCCTACAGCAGGTTTCTAGGCAACCACTTCTGAGAGGATAAGAGGGAGATAAAGAGAGTAGAACAAAGTTAAAAATCATCATTAGCCCCACATGTCTAATTCCATGAGGCATGCTTTATTCTTACACTCCTCCTTTTAATCGGAGTATGTGTTTGATCGAGGAAAAGATCACACATAAATGATATAAAAGCTAAATGTGGGCTCGTGGGCATATACGTGGACACATTTTGCTGTTTTTCCTAAAAGGCCATACAAACATTGTGTCTGTGGTGGCAAGTGCTCATGTATTATTCAGATTATTCAGGACACAGTAAAACTGACATGACTCTCAATGTACTCGTACATCAAACACAAACTCCTTCCTAACGTATTTCTAGTTTTGCTTTTACTAAACTATATCTGAGGCTCTCATCGATCCTGCAGGAGGTTTACGATTTGGCTGGTTTTAAATTACATCTGAAGATGAACCAATAAAGACTTTTTCTGGCTGATATTGATTTCCATCTTTTTTTCTTTTTTTTTATCTGATCTGCTGGTTCTAATTCTGACTTATGCAAATGTTTCTTTTTCTAAAGACTATAACATATATAAAGTAAAAAATTTACCCATTTTCTGTGAGTACATCGGAAAATGATAAGAAAATTACAAGATTTTCTCCATGCCCTGGCATTTTCTATAATTTGTTAGGCCTTTAAACATTATCTGTTTAAAGGCCGAAAATGTTGGGAACTCTTTTGATATATAAGGAAGAAGGGAAAATCCAACCGCCCACTATCAGAGCGAATCAAGACACAATTGGCCGATTCCAATCTCTGGCCAATGGTTTGGTGCATCACGGTGTTACTCAGAATAACTACAATGCGTGTGTCTTATGAAACTAATTTAATCAATAATAAAAAAACAACCACAATGTGAAACAAGGTTTGCCAACTGGTCATTAACTGAATTTAGTTTGATTTTAAGGCACAAACATTATTTCACTCAAACGAAATGCAGACTTGTTTATACGTTTGGGGCTTCTCTATAATTTTTTAGAAAACAAATGTGTGTTAGAGGGACTGATAGGCAAAAATAAGCAGATGTTGATGGCCAGTTTTAAACAGAATGCTCCTTTGCGATAACATGCGCCAAGTCTGCTTACATTTTATTAGAAATAAGTAAGCAGAAGTAGACTTGTTTAACAGCACAACTCCTTTTTTGGTCTTTGCTGCACAAAGGAAAAAGGTCATCACCCTTTTTTGTGAGCTCAGCTCCACACAGTAGCTTTGAGCAGTGACTGGATCTAATAGCGTAGATAAGTTTATGTCTTTCTATCTTGCATAAAACATAAAGGTAATCAAGCAAGGCCTAAGAGTGTTCTGTCCGTACCACAGATTTTATTATAAGAAGCAAAGAAAAGTAGGGAAATAAGTAGGGAAGCTTCATAATAATGGTCTTGTTCAAAAAGCATGCTCAAAAGAAGGAGCATTACTTTAATAAGCATCTTCTATGTGCTGTGCAGTGCTGGAACTTATGACCTACTTTCATCTAGGGGGGGGGGGAGGAGGTATTCAATTATATGCAAGCTGCAAGGCTTCAGAAGCTTCTAAACTTTAATCAATACTATATTTACAAATCTATTTTTACTTTCTGGTATTCTTTCTGAAGAGTATCCTAAAATAAATTCTTGATGGAGAGCCCACTTGGGTTATTACAGTGCACCATGAACTTTCCCTTTCACTCTGTTCAAAGGAGCTTGATAAGATATTGTCTCGACAACTCTTTGCACAAAGACATGTAAGAATAATTCAAATTATTGCGAGCACAGCTCAGAAAAACAATCTGAAGATTCACATGATAAGATGACTGGCTATCCTGATTGCAGAGGCTGAGACAGAAAGCCTAGAGTCGGCATCACAAACATTTTTGTGAAGATAACTCTGAAACTGATGTGACGAGAGGCGTATCAAATTTTACCTGGTAGCGTTGGCTTTACACATTTGCAACACATTCCCTCTCTAAAATATTGGTGTTCAATCTGGCTTCTCTGGGTTCCATTGATCTGTTTCAGCCAAATGTGAAAACATTTCTAAGAAATCAGCACATCCGCTTCACCGCATTCAAAATACACTACCTCTACTAGATAGGCTGGTTAGGAAACCACATGAGAACATGAAGAATCTGGTCAGACTCAAACATCACAACTCCTTCCTGTCCCCCATGCAGATTAAAAAATGTGCAAGTGACTCCATTAATAAAGCTCAGGTAATAAGCCAAAGAAGTGCATCAATGTATACCACAAATGATTACAAATGTACACCTGTGGTTGACTGAAATTTAGGACAAGCCAAAAAAAAAAAAAAAAAAAAGGTGGTAGCTTCTTTTATCACAAAGCCAAAGCCACAATAAAAAAAAAAAAAGAATTGGTTACCAACTGCCATACAAATAAAGATTCAAAATTATTAGAAAAATTTTAATTAAAGCCAACACAAGAGATTGTTCCAGATATCCCCGAAACAGGACACATGTATGGAATAACAATAGCATACTTGAGCATTTATGCAAAAGTATGCTAAAGTAAGCAATCACTGAAAACAGCTAAGAACTCCCAAAACTAAGGAAACATTTGGCAGATAACTGCATGAAGGAAGGGTGCATTACAAATACATTTCAACTAATCACATTGAAAAACTATGACATTTTCACATAAAGAAACCTCAAATAAAAGTGTGATAGGAGTGAAAACTGTCTCGCATAAATTCCTTGTGCTTTTGACTCACACTGACATTTCATTACAATTATAACAAAGGTGACCCGCTAAAGCTCCTTCGCTCTCCGCTCACAGTGGGGCAGACAGTCGGCTGCAAGCTACCAACTGAAAAGTTAAGTGGATCTACTGCTTTTCTTTTGATCACAGCGTTGCTGTTCGTGTCAGTGACTGAGCCTCCGTCTGAGACACGCTGCTGCTTTTAAAAACTTTAAATGGGCTTCTGTTTCACAGCCCCAAGGGCAGAACACTGGACAGAAATGTGTGTGTGTGTGTAGGTGTGCGTGCGTGTGTGTGTCCATCATAGTGTCATTTTGAAATACACAAGCCAAAACTATCTCTGATCATTGAAGGCAAAAATCGATATAAATTAAATAGGTAATACAGTGATCAAGATTGAAATATCTGCCCTTCATGTAAAGACAACAGGACTGAGTTGCACAAAGTGATTGTTATGGATTTCAAGTCTGTTTCAGCAAAGAGCTTTAAGTCACACAGAGGAACATCAAGCAGAGGGTCAGAGGTCTTCAGGACACACCCAAACAATCTACAGTCTATTCAAGGTAGACACGCCACACATGAGGGCTACTTTGAAAATCACTTAGTTGACTGGGTGCTTTATGATAATAAAAAAATAAAAAAATAAACTTTAAGATAAGCTCTTAAACTCACCACTTCTCAACCTTTGGAGTTCTAAACCACACCGAAAGATAATAATGTACGAACTACCAAACACAAAGAAATTTTGTGGACGTAGGGGACAGAAAACACTGAGAGCTCTTGACCAAAGAAACACGATGGAGTTTATAAGTTACATGTCAATTTTTACATGAACACATTTGCACAGAACTGCAATGGTTCCTTAAATGACTTGAATAATTTAATGAAAACAAGCAAAGCAAAATCTGTTGGCCTAATTCTTTGTTAATTGTGCAGAATGTCGTACTGTCCACCGCCTATTTTTGTCCCCCATGTGGTCACGTGTTTCACATGGGACGGTTATTGCCATTACACAAATCTGCTTCTGTTTACATGAACTGTGAGGAAAAGAAAACCAGAGGAAACAGACACCAAACATAACAAGTTTAGCTCTCCGTCAAAACAGAGAGAAGCAAGCATCCTCTACAGTAAATCGAGTTAGCTTAGCATGTTATATTATTAGAATATACTAATATATTATTACATTTTAAGGGTCATTCATTCACACTTTGCATATCTAAAACACAGTCGGCTAGTTGGC